ACAGGACAATGGCAGCCCCATGTGTAGGAGTTTTATAGCTTCTTTCATACAGCCTTATTATGACCAATGCCTCAGTTTCACTACTGGTACTGCCACTGGGAGGCGCCTAATTTGGAATATTTCAAGTTATAGGGTCTATTTTTATGATGCTATTTAGATAAAAATGAAATAAAAACTCATTTGTAATAGGCTACGTTTGTAAAGAGCTATATTTAAAGGAGCAGTTAAACAGGCTATTTGCTTTCTTGCCAAACGTTATAAGAAGAAGATTGATATCACTTTCATGTCTGCGTGTTAAGTCACTAATCACTAATCAACACATTATATATATTATATTATATTTGTTTAATCTTTAGGCCTACACGTAGAAAGAGAAAAATAATAATAATTGTTTTGATGATTAATTACTGCTATGTCTGTTCGGCTTTCTGTTTTCACACATTTGATTTGATTTGAAACGGAAACCAACAACCGTCTCTTGCAGATTTTATTAGCAGGAGCTAGCTACATAATTATTTTATTATCACTCCACGAGTTGGTTGAAAATGTGCTCTGGCTAACTTTTTACTAAGCTAAGATTGAGCTATTGCTGTTTGGGAGGGTTAGCTAACAGTCAGTTACAACACAAAAGTTTTCACCTTTCTGTTAGTGTACAGGTTAAACAAATACAATGAGTGAGCTTTACAGATGCTGCTATACTGATTTTTTTTAACATTGCAATGTTCCTGTAAAAGCATTATGAGGAAGTTTCCATAATGCTAGTAGCACTTAGCCTAATAAGATAAAATACATTCCTAGAAGTATAAATGTCACTATAAACCTAGCTCATTAAGCTAATGTTAACTCCACAAGTTGGTTGAAACTGTTTCTGTACAGGTTGAACAAATGAGATAAGATGGGTTAATTAGTGAGCTTTAGCTGGTAGGCTGAAGTTGTGACTTTAGACGAAGCTAGCCGTTTCCCTGTTTCCAGTCTTTATTTATGCTAAGCTAAGATAATCACTTGCTAGTAGCTAAACAAAACACAAGAGTGGTATCAATCTTCTCCTCTTACGCTCAGCAACAAATCAAAGAAGTTTCCAAAAATATTCTAATATGCTTTCTAGTTTCTATTCCTTTAACTCATTATAAAGGCATTTTAAGAAAGTAGAAATGCTAGTAAAATATAGCATTCAATTAAATAAATGTTTTAAAGTAGCACTAAACCTACAACTGGATTATGTAACAGCAGACTACAGTGGTCTATTATTAACTAGCTGTAGTATCATACTTGTATGATAGAGGACGGTAAGAGCAATTTTTATATTTAAGCTACAATCTCATAAACTTCTAAAGCAATGGAATATTATAGGACAATGTACCACAATGCAGACTAAAAGTTGCCTAAAAACATAAATCACTGTTATCAAGTACAACCATTATGTATGCCCCAACAGGAATATTAAGCTGGTTGTTAGCCCGCCAAGAAAAAAATAAAACTACTTTCAGCTTAATCTCTCTGTTTATGTTGATAAATCTTATCCGCTCACATTACTGAAAATGTTGGCTGACTTCAGGAGAGCATAATGCTTTGGGAGGCACCTGTTCAAGCATGACTACTAAGATAAGATACACCTTTTTAAATCCTAAACCCCCCTCGCTCTCTCATACACACACCCTTGAAACGCTTTTCTTTTCACTGTGCTGCACTGTAATGAGTGGATTATTTACAATACTCACTGGACTCACTTTGATCAGACAGATAGCGACTGCTGTGGTTATCCTGCTGCAGAGGAAACATCCTGACCGAGCATGTTGAATTTCACATGGTAGAAACTGTAAATACTTGATAATGCTCCCATAGCCTCACACACACACACACACACACACACACACACACACACAGAGAGCTCCTTTTGATGCTATCTTTGGATTTTGATTAGACCCATAATTATGTGGTACTCTCACTGAAAGCTTGACTTAATCGACTGCAAAGCTTGCTGGGTGATTTCCCCTTGCCTGGATTTTGGTGGCAAATAATAACTCGCCTCCTCAAATCCACACAGAAATCTGACCGACAGCAAGCTAGCTCATTGTTTTATATCCTTTAATGCAGCTATATTTGCTCTATTGTTTAGCATGTAAGCACTGAAACCTAAGCTCAGTCTTATGTGGGGTGTTTTGAGGCGTGTTTAACAGGCTTGGAACTGCTCATTTACTCTGCAGAAGGAAGCTTGATGGGGAAAAGTGATCTCGTTCAATGATATGTGGCACAAAATAAACGGGACTGGGATGTTGTTTGTTGGTAGTGAAAGGAAATGACCTCCAAAATGTTGGGTTTTATAAGGAGACGGATGATGATATCTGATAGTGCCAGATAGTTCCACCAGCATGTGAACACAGAAGTAAATAAATACTTTAGAGCAGATAAGGTGATCACCAAAATCATGTCAGCCGATGCTTTGGCCGACCACCATATGTCCGTATTGTCTCACACAGCACAGACATGTGGAAGTTGTCCTTTACAGGCTGAGGACGATGCATTGTTGACTATTTTCCCTGCCTAACGACATCGCGTATGGTGATTCTGCAGATAACAAGCTGCCACTTTATGACAGACAAACATAATATACAGTTCTGTGGAAAACATACATAACACTGCTGCCCCAGCTGATTGGCTGCTGCAGATCATTCAGGTTGTATCCGCTGATAAGAAGGGTGAATTCTATCTGGATGATCCAAAGTTCACTCCGAGGGCCTGATTGTAAATGTGATCAATTGGCTCTCATTGTTTGCACAAGTCATTAAATGTAACGCCTGTTCTTTGCTATTGATTTTACTTTCAGTGTGGCTCACAAGGCGATCAGTTCCACCTGTTGCATCACACCCAACACCCAAGAAACACATGTAGATGTTAATTTTACTACAGGTTGTCTGTGTCTTTCACCAAAAGTTAGCATTAGATAATGCCTCATTATTCCCTCTTTAAGAAACCATTGACTCTAATATGTCAACAAAATTCTACAACAATTTTGAACCTGGCTTTATCCAATGTTCAGATTTATGTTCTGGCAATGTATGCAAATGAGCACATTTTAATTAGATACTGCCTCATTTGCATATTTAAATATAACATTTCAGAAAACTTGTGATGCCCTTTTGATCTGTAGAGCCTTAAAACAAGAGAAAGACAGTATTACTGAGAAGATTGTATATGTTTAAGAAGCGAAGGGTCAGACCTAATATAATAAAATGATTATGTTTCAGTTGAAGCGGTGTCACATAAGTGAATTTTATTGAATTATGTAGACTACTTCCATAATAAATCATTTAAAAAAACTTTGTATATTGCATACTTTTTTTCTGACTACAAATCACAGAAATGCGAGACTTTTTTTGTTGTTATATCACACAGGAGCAGCTTATTTTGGCAACAATCAGCGCCCTTCAGCTACTGAGGGAACTGTATCTTCAGATACACAAACACATATCTGACAGATTGCTGACGCAGTCAACAGGTCGGTAGTTTTTCTGCTGTTGTGGGATAACAGGACTTATAAGGAGCCTGAAATAGAGAAACACCATGATAACAGTGAGTGGCTGAGAGTCCACAGCGGATATGACAGTAAAAATATCACAGGTTGTGACCCCTTATTTCCAGCCAGGGCAGGACATACGTAGTACCATACAGATATCTGTGAGCCCATGTTTCTGTCCTGATTAGCAACCTGTATGCTAGAGAAATGTGTTGGTTGCTGAGGGCAGTGAATGAGTCATGAGCCCCTTCCTGAGCGTGTAATGCTGGAATTATGCTTCAATAATGACCTGTAGTGAAGACCTGCGTGTCAAACAAGTTGACTGGTTGATCCGACTTTCTGTCTGGAAGGTTTTTTTTCTTTTTTTTTCAGAGTTTGAGCCCACATCTGAGACTCCTGAAGCCCGTTAACAACTGGACAATGTTCCAGGACAGCACTAACATGAAACAGGCTAACACATGTCATCTTGGAGAGAGGGAGAGGGTCACTGAATGTTCATGAACATTTAAATAACTAAACCATTCACTCATGCTGCTATTTATCAGTTCCTTTACATCTGACTTGAATTCACCACAATGAATCACCGCTATCAAATTCCTGTCCTTCTGAACAATATTCTAAGTAAAGGAAGGAAGTGTATTTTCAATCTTTTCTGCTGAAGCAGAAACTGCTCTTCTTCCCAAACAACCTTTAAAACGCTGTATCTGACAGTCTGCCCACTACTCCATCTGACACAAGCTATCTGTTGGTGACGGTGTCCCCAGCAAGTCATCTCATTCAGTCTGAAACAGTCTGTACTGTATTTAGAACGGCACAGTGTCAGATAAGAGATACTCTGTAGGTTGAGTCTGCTTTGTTCTTGTTATCTGCATCTTTTTCTACTTTGTGTAAAAGGCATTTACACTGTCGACACCTCTCCAGCTGCGCCACACTCAACTCGACCGCTCTTTGAATTTCCTTTTCTCAGATTTCCTCCATTTTTCCTTTTCCTTAATAGATAAAACAGTTACGTGTGTTAATTTTTATTTCCAAAACAAGTACACTATGACATTTACTATGTAACTCTTTTGGTCTTGTTTTATTATTATTTCCTGATCTTATTGTTTTTCATTGATCAGTGTAAAGTGCTCTTTAATCACTGTTTGATAAAACCTTAATACATAACTG